AGGTGAGATGCTAGGATTAAGCACTGTAAATTCATTGATATTTGATTAAAGATCATTCATAATATTATATAATTACATTTGTTTAATAAAACATTATAATTATAAATTTATAATATTATATAATATCATAATTATATCATAAAAAAAATTTAAAAATAGGTATCCTAAAACATAGAAATAAGTACAGATTTAAATGTGGAGGAATTAAGAATTAAATTTGAATTAAGACAATGCATGAGGTGTGATGCTAGGATTAGATGTAACACACCTCCTTATGCACTTTTAGTTCTAGAAGAGTTTAGAAATAAGATTTATAATAAAGAATTGCAGTGGAAATAAAAACACTTTTGAAAAAAGAAAATCATAAATACCTGTAAAGCAAAACCACTTTAGCAAGTCAATATATATATATTGAAAAAAATACCAAAATATTCAAAATTATAAAATAAGCCAAGCTAAACTCATTTATAATTAATTTAAAGATTTTATACATAAAGGTAATTTACACAAAAATTATATTAGGCAAATTCTTCTCCAAAACTTTTCAAAAAAACAAAAGTTGAGTCATTATTTTGGTAACACATTGATCTGCCTCCCTATCGAAAACATGAGGCCCTAGCTTGTACATACAACGAGTATGTGAGTCCCATGCCAAAAGCTCCTAAACCAAGAGGCTGCTACCTCGATCTACTGATCTGAAATGGGGGGGGGGGGAATTTTATGAGCTAACAGCCCAGTAAGTAATAAGTTTAAGTTATAAACTTAGGTTCTAAAACCTTTAGATCTATCCACACAAAGAGCATAAGACACAACGAAATCAAATCACATAATATTATAATTCTCACTATTTAAATAATAACTTAATATCTTAAATCATAAGCACAAATGTCAAGGAATAATCAATGACATTTAAATTAAATTCATATAATCATATGCTCACAAATACGATATCACAAGTGCAATGCATAAAATTGAAAATCACACAATGCTATGGAGTCCATTGAGGTATGCTAGCAACATTGTACCAGAGCTAATCATAGTACTAACTCTGCTGCGCAGAGGTCCACTAAATACCCCGAAGGATCCACTGAATACCCCAAACTTTAAGCTTAGGTATACTTACTCCATAACTACAAACACATACGCATGTCAAACAAATTCATAATATATCCAAAATAATATTAGGACTTCCTATTGAAAGAGATCAAAGTATAATGCGTGAACAATAATCATGAACAGTAATTGTAAACAGTAATCGTGAACAGTGATTCGTAAACAGTACAATTTACTTATAATTCTGGCAAACAAAAATTCACACCCAAATCAAACAATAAAAAGAAATAACTCACTATATTTCCCATATAAGCCCTAAAATTAAGGATATTTCTAATGAAATTTTAATACTCAAAAATCTTATAAACCAAAGGATTAGAGTCAAATCTCACCCATTTAAACTACCCAAAATTCATAACTAAAACTTATATTTACCTAACAAAAAGCACCTTAACCTTGAAGAAAGAAAGAAGAAAAGAATGTAGGTGGAAGAGGAAAGCGTAAGAAAACAAAATGGGGCTTTTGGGAGCCTTCTAGAGGCTTATCCAAGTTTCCACTGACAAAAAAAAAAAACTTGGGTGGGACAATGCCATGTGGTGGTGAGCAAAATTGAGATAATTGAGTTATGGTCATTCAACTTCTACTAAATTCTACTAAAACCCCAAAATTTTAAATTCAATCAATTTAATTCCTAAAACTATAAACTAAAGGACACTAATTTTTAAATTATTCACTAAGGTATGTGGGGTGTTACATTAGGCATCGTAAATTCATTGATCTTTGATTAAAATTGTGTTAAAGTGGGTTTGATTGATCCATTAATAATATGATATAATGTGGTGGACTTGCCCTCTGGCCACGTTCACTAATTAAGGATCCTATTTGTGACCTTTCTAGATTCAAAATCATCATAAAATAAGAAAAAATATGATGTCAATGAGAGTCACTTGCATTAAGGACAATAATTGATACGCATTTAATTTAATACATTGCATAATATATTTATAAAAAAAATCATTATTTTTTACCTAAAATTAAAGACAAACAAATTTAAACATATTAGTATGCACTTAAGATGCAAGAACCAATTAAATTGATTGTATTTATATTATATTTTAATGATTGAATAGAAAATATGTCAAAAAAAATGTGTTGAATTAAAGGTGTACAAATAATTTTCTATTGCACTAAACATCATTAAAAGAAATAAAAAGTAAATAAAAAATAAAACCAATATTCCTTGTCAATTATGTATCTTTCAAGCTTTACCAGTAGATTCTTCGATAAAATTATTGTTAGTTTTTGTTTGACCAAAGATACATCCTTCACTTAAAAGCAACTAATGGAATCAATGCCTATATTAATAGAAGTTACATAGCTGGCGAAACCCGAATGGAAAATGATAAGTGAGACGAAAAATATGAAATGGTAGGGGACTACAAAATTACGATAATTAGTTAATTATTATGTAGGTCTCATATCATATTGATAAGTATGATTTCTTTATCACATAATTTTGTCTCATGAATTAGTGCTTAGCACGAATTATTACTATTATTATTTTTATTTTGGTTGCATGATAGGGGCAATTGTCTCTCATCCCTTATCCCATCTTATCCACATATCATGCGACTCGAATTCAGAATTTCTTACTTCCAACGGAAAGAGATGATCACTGAATTATTTAAGTTATTAGCTAGCACAAATTGTTAAGTGCTAATAATAGAGTGTGGTTATGGCAACTCAATAGTTGGTTAAGGTTATATAAATTGTGTTTAATTTGATTGATATTAGTAATTTTTTTAAAATAGTTAGTTATAATGTATAAAAATATTAGTTTATAAATTAATTTTAATTCATTAAAAATGAATACTAATTATTTTATCTATTATTATCTATTTTTAATAGTTAAATCAAACAAAATGAGTATTTTTTAACAATAAGGTAATGTAGAGTAGATTGTCCTTTTAAAACTATTTTGAGAAACCTATCTAAAATTACATTTTTTTAATTAATATTTTACAAAACTGGCCATTGGATTGAAAATTTTATTTAAGTAGATTATGCATATCAATTTTCATATTAATCAAATACTTATAATCATTTAATCAAAATAACCCAATTTACTGATATATATATTTAACGATATTAAATTTTATATAGTTAACGAAATAGTTAAACTTATTAGATTAATATAAAAATTTATATACATAATTTATATGAATAAAATTTTTAATTTAACAGTGTTTTAAAAAAGTATAAATCAAAAAAAGAGTTTTTAAATATGTATTCTAAAAAGAATTTGAGAGAATAATTTGTAAAATACTTTTTCTCTTTTAACAATATTATGTGACTTTAACTAATGAGTACGTGATTATAGCTAC